TTCCTGCTGGCATGGGAATGGGATGCATCATTAAAACAGTACCAAAAAAATAAAACCTCATATTGTGCTTTGGCTTCTACATAAATAAATAATAGGCTCCTCCAGCCAACTGAAGTATAATATACTATATCACACAGGGGGGGGAAAAAATACTGTTTGCTGCATGTTAGTATCAGAATTTTCTTTTAATAGTCCGACCCAGGGATTAACTAAGAAAAATCTGAAGCCTCTGCCATTAGCAACAGATGATTCTATTCGGGAAAATAAAGCTGCACTTGTAAAGGACCTGGAAAGAAACCTGCATTTCAGAGAGGATGGTAATCATCAAAGTAGTCAGCAGGTAAGAAAATCAAGTTATTCAACCAAATTTCACTTGTGAAGAAGACATGGATTGTGACTTGGGAACAAAAGGTGTTTGTTCCTCTACACTACTTTGCAGAGGGAGCTTTTGTGATTAAGTACTGGTTTGAAATAGCAAACTGGAGCTTTAAATAGGAAACATGAGGGGATGCAGCTGCAGAGGGTTTACTTTGTGACAGAGAAGTATTTTTAATTTCTAATCATCTCTATTAGAGATCAATGGGAATGTAATTTTTTTGCTTTTAGTGGAAGCTCACATTGGATTTAATTTCTTCACTTGACAAGTTGCTCAGCTCATTGCACACAGACACACTCTTACACTGCATATTTTTAGCACAAATTAAGAACTACAGTAATCAAACTGTAAGGAAAGATTTCTGTTTTTACTTTGGTTGATTAAAATGTGGTATTCCATTTTTAGCATTAAACTTATTTTTCCAAATCTCCGAAATTAAATGAACCGACAGGGACTTGTTAGGAACCTAAAAAAAGTTTTGGTAGCTGTTACTGGCACACGTGAAACTTTAGGCCTAGCATTATTAGAGTTTAACAAAATAACAAGCTTTTTATAAAGCTCAAGGAATCAAATATCAGTTCATTCTTAATCAGAATCAATAAATTCACCAGATCTGGGCAATGTCTATGAGATTAAAGACAAAATAAAAAATGAAATCATACTTTGAGGTTGAGATCATTGTAAATCATGTGCACTCACCCTCAAATAACAGTAGGACACACTAAGGACTGCTAGATAGGTGTTCTGTCTGTAGGCAGTTATGCCACTCTCACCTTGGCCACAGAGCCCTCCTGTATCTGTCCTGCCAGCTCAGGCTTAACTCAGCAAATAATGGTTTACCTTGAGCTGTTGTCAACAAGGGACCTCTTCCCAAAGTCTGTTAGCCCTTCTAACAGAGAACGTGCACAGATAAGCACAAAGTCCTGGAGTCTCTGGAGTAAATTATCCTCGGTGGACAACTGGAGCGTAATCCCTGTTTTTTAAATTTTGCTGTTGACCTTTCTTTCTGACAGATCACGCTGCCAAAGCACTTTGAGTAAAACAACTGGCAAGCAGTCTGTTCTGCAGATGAAAGCGTTACAGTTTGTACTTGCTAGGGTAGTAAGACCAATTATTTAGAGAGCTACTGTGAAATACCAATCAGTCTTTTGAGTTAACTGCATGATAACCCCTTTAGAAACAATGATCACTACTGGTGTCAAAGTTATCTGCTGACAGCAAAAGTTATTTATACACTTATTTGCTATTCTGTATGAGACCAAACCAAAATCTTGAGTCCCAAATCCCCAAAACACTGTAAAACTTCAAAGCTGGCACATCCCTACTTGATATGGTAATTAAGAATGAACTTGAAAACAAAGATTTTAGGAATGCTCAACAAAAGTTCTCTCATTTTCCCCTCAGTTCCTACCTTGAGTCACTTCTGATTTTGTTCTTCCACATCTAGGAAAACCACTACTCACACTGACTCCAGCAAATTCCAGTTTTCACTGAATATTTAAAGAGAGGAGAGGATGGACATTATTTTCCGAAATTCCTATTGCTTTGCCATTTATAGATCGATCAACATCATGAAAATAATATGTTGGAGTGCAGATTCACACCCATAGATTTTGTCCTGCATTTTCCTCTTGTAGTTAACAAGAGGTTTAAAAAGGACAACTTTTCATCCTATGTATTGCACTTCTGCATTAAATTGATTATTGTAATGGTTGGGAAGGGCTTCTTAATCACTTTCTCATAAACACAAATGCAACTCTCCTCTATATGAGAGATCACTGCATGATGAATGGAGTACAGCTCCCAGTAACAATCTTAAAATGTTGGCTTCCTTGTATTTTCTACACACTATTTTAAAAATTCCTAACAATGTGTCCTGTAGCATATTTTTATTTAGAGGATTGTACTGTAATGCCATATTTTAATAGCAGTATTTGGTCTCATTTACAATATCTGCAGAGCATGTAGGGATCATCCAGAACAAAAGCTGGTACTACAAGTCTGTGTCTTAAATCACTGGTATTGTCTTGTATTACTATATAAAGTGCAGTAATGAACATGAGTGATTTACATCCTGGTGCTCTATTTATTATCTATCATTGGCTTCCATATTAAAAGTGCTTAACTTACAAGTCAAGATTTTCCTAAGTGTCAGCATTATGCACTCAGCATGATACCTAATAATTCAGATGTACTCCTTCTGTTCATCCAGGGCATCATTCATCACCAACAATAAAGAAATCCAGCATCAGAAGGTAGTTGGTAATTTCGCTGATGTTGCATGAGACAGAACAGATCAGCCTCTGCTCTGCAACTATGATAACCATGCAGTGCTGACAGAAAGACAAATAGGATTTTGCTAAGATTCTAGCTGCAAATTTGATCAAGTAGGTGTAATAACAAGCTGTCATTTTTATCAGAAAAAAACACCATACCTGTCACTTATGCAGAGGGTAGTATGAGTATGCTGTGTTGTCAGGTGAAATTTCATCACAAATCAGTGTTGGGAAAAAAAAAGGAGGTTCAGTTATACCAATGGTCTTCAGTCAGATTTGCTCATTTCCTTCAAACAGAAGATATAGCAAATGATGATTGGCTTTATGCAACTGCAGGAAGAGGTTAGGAGAAATCCCAGGAGACAGGAGACTTAACTCAGTTGCTTCCTTGGCCTGAAGACAGCCACATTCATAACTCTCAACTCCTGTAAAGACAGCCCAACTCCCTGCCACTGGGTACATTTCCTGCTGGTGCTGTCTCACGTTGCACAAAATTACTAGGCATTCTGTATCAGCAGGA